GGGGGGGGATTATTTTCTTTTAAACCTGGAGTGTAGGGATGCAAAAACAGACTAATCTTTAAGGAAGAACCTTCCTTGTTACCTGGATTCCCCTAGGGATTCAGGATACCTTCAGTGAAGATGACCTCACTCTGTCAAAAGCCTGCACATGTGTGGATAATCAGCTCTATGAACAGCTGGGATCAGCTCTTGCAACTCTTTCAAAGTTCTTTCAGGAACCTGCCCTCCAGTCAGTCACCATCTTATTGTGGGCAGAGGGAGTTTCACTACCCAAACCTGCAGGCTGACTGACATTGCTTTGGGCATGAGGCTACGTATGGACTTAGGAATTACTCGTAAGGAACTGGGAGTGAATCCAGATGCTCAGAACAAGTACCCCCTACTCACCACAGCCATGACACTGTGGGGAAAGAGTATCACCAGTTTTCCTGTAGAAGGAGTTGCTTTTTCTATGTTTGACCATGGTGATATGAAGACCAACTTGGTGAGCTCACTACCAGTTCCAGAGGTCATTATGAAATACAAAAGGTGCCACAAGCCTTGTGTCCCGTTCCCTCAAGTGTAACAATGAAAGAGCTTACTGACAGGCAAGAGAAACATTTCAAGGAGCTTCTGAAAACTACACAACACCACAAGACATCTAGACAACACTCCTTCCTCTCCGAAATCAACACAGAGAACAATACAAGGAGGAAGGTTAATCCTCCTGGATCTGACACTACTATTCCAGCCAAATGCTAATAAGCAAAGCTAAAGCAGCAACCCAGCTTCAATCCATCCCAAAACCAAGTCATGCAACAGAATTTTTAAAAAACAGCCTATTTCTACAAAGGAAAAAGGAGAGAAGTGTTGCACGAGATTTAATTAACGGAGCTTCAGGTCTGGAGACAGCTTAACTGGGATGATGTTCACAGCACATCTGCTTCCATTCTTCTGCAGCTAACAAGAGTCCCTTCCAGAGAAAAATCCAGGCTCTGGCAATGTCTGTGCACATCTGACCGCAAAAGGAAACTCCCCTCACACTCATAAACCCACTTTCTAGGAGATGCTTCAGGCCTTTCCACAACCTCCCTAGCATGAGAACAGGCATTTTGGGGTGGCACTGTGCTGTTCTCTTTCCCTGATGCAGGGATGCTTGCTGACTGAAAAGGATCTCAGTGTGAGTTTCTGCATGGCTGCCACCATCTGAAAAGAGGTTTAACCTCAACAGTTTATAAGACCTTCCAAAAGCCTTTGAGGGCATCAGCCTTGAACAGCTGTCTGCTGGTGAGCACAGCCTTGAAGGATGTACAAAAGGAGCCAGATTATATGGGGTGGTTTATTAATATTAATGAACACTATCATTATTAACTATTTGTCAGAGGTCAAGACAGCAACAGCTCATAAAGTTTTAGACCAAGTTTAAGCTCTGCAGCACACTCCTTCAGCAGGACACAATCTATTAGCAGCACCTGGTTTGGATTACTACCCTTAAACCTGAGAAGCTCCAGCTCCCTTTCCAGAATAGCTCAAACTGCTGTGACTACTATAGTCCACAGCCTCCAGGATTCTGAGGCCCCTCTCAAACTAAGAGCTCCAGAGCTCCTTCAGTGCGATGGTCAAGGTTTTGCCCACTCACAAAAGCACTTGTCCATGATCTCTGTGTGACAGACACAGGCAGATTCCTTCAGGGCAATACCCTCAGGGAAAGTCTTTTTTTCACCCCTAAAAGACCATCCTCTTGACTTATTTTACATCCTCCCCACCTGACCAGACTACTCAGCACCCTGTGCTTTAGTTACTTTGCTGGCTGCTAACTCACACGTCCTCTTTGAGGCTTACCACACAACCGTTACTTCCCACCACCCTCCTATTCATCAGCCCCTGCACACCCAAAAGCTGTTTTCCTTTCTCTTCCTTGCCTGCCAGAAGTATCACAGACTAAAATATTCTCCCTTCACATTCGTTTCTCAGACTTGTCACTGCAGTGCCTTCCAGAAACGGAGAGAAGCAGTCCTGCTCAGCCCCTCTGCCTGCAGGAGAGGCATGCTGTTGTTTTAAGACACAGCATGGGTCTGTCACAGAGACATTTGAAAGAGGAGTGGCAGTGGAAAGGGAACCTTGAGAGAAAAAATCCCGAGAGTACAACAAACATCTGCTGCCAGCAGCTGGTGAGAGTTTCCAAAGACTCCATCTACATCCACGCTCAAGTGCTAGACTGCAAGGCCAACAAAAGGCACATTGCTAACAGCCAAAAAAATAAGCACATAATTTGAGTACAGAGCTCCAAGATGGGGCTGGTCTGGCTGAGATGGAGTTAATTTTCTCCACAGTAGCTTGGATGGGGTCATGTTTGGGTTTGTGCTGAAGACAGTGTTGAGAACACAGGGGTGTTTTCAGCACTGCTCAGCAGCGCTTACACAGCATCAAGGCCTCTTCTGCTCCTCATACCACCCCACCAGTGAGGAGGCTGGGGGGCCACAGGAAGTTGATAGGGGACAAGGCTGGGACAGCTGACCCCAACTGACCCCAGGGATACCGCAGACCATAGGACATCATGCTCAGCAATAAAAGTGGGGGAAGGAGGAGGACGGGGAGACGTTTGGCGTTACAGCGATTGTCTTCCCCAGTAATCATTAGGTGTGATGGAGACCTGCTTTCCTTAAGACTAAATGCCTGCCTGCCGATGGGAAACAGTGAACAAATTCCTGATTTTAATTTGCATGCACACACAGCTTTTGCTTTACTTATGAAACTGTATTTATCTCAGCTTTACCCTTCCAATTCTCTCCCTCAACCCACAGCGGGGCAGTGAGCGGCTATGTGGGACTTAGTTGCCAGTCAGGGTTAAACCACTGCAAAGGCTCTAGAGCTGCTCAGGTAAACACAAACTTTCCAAATACTGTCAGTAAAACCAGCCTTTTTTTCCACTGGAGCACAAAATCCACAGTGAAATAGGAGTGGTTTTTACAGCTCAATTTATGTTCTCAGGCCAGTGCCCAGCCTGTGCACATACAGGAGCAACTTTACAGCGACCACTTTCACAGTCAGTGAAAGAAGGCAGGAAACGAGGAGCCCCCGGCATAGCCTTGTAGCCCATACCAACGTTTACTACTCATCACTGGCTCCGTCGTGTAAGCCTGATACTCTGTGGCTCTATTATGTCAGCCTGATAGGATCCAAGCCTTGCTAACGACTTCATCTCGAAGAAGTGATACAAGATTGAGAAGAGGTGAGCATCCTGCCTAGAAGATGCCAGAAAGTGGGTGATTGCCCAAGAAGCATGAAGTCAGCAAAAATCTGTGGAAACTGGGGGAGGGGTAAAGGCAGCAGAGGGAGATCATGACTACTGACTCAAGTCAAGACCGAAAAAGCTTGTCCCCCCACACCTGCAAAGACCACACATGCTAATTTACACAGCAAGTGAGGCTAATTTAAATATAACTACCCAATAGCAAGCGGAATGGTAACTATGGACCAACGAGTGTAAACTTAGATAGGTTTTTACTAACCATGTCATAGGATAAATGGGCTGTACTTCCTTTGCGTGCTGTGCTGGCTTTGTGGGATCACCCCCCAGCAGCCGTCTTTGCGCAACTAGGGAATAAAACAGGTATCTCAGCCCTGTGATGGGCTTTTGCACACCAAGTAACAAACCCTGTTTGAGGGACACCCTGAGCTTCGGGTCTCATCAGCTCACTGCTACATCCAGTCATCAGACTCTGTGCTGACTTTCCAGCTTGAGTACGCTTACCTGTTGAAGTTGCCATACCGGATTTTAAATTTGTACACGAGCCTGCCTGCATGGAGAAACCTCGTTTCAGGCAATGGATAGGTACATGGTTTCAACGCCATCTTTCTCCATCCCTGAACACCAGCCTAGGGAAGCAGGAGAGTCAAAGGTCAACTAAAACCCTTCACCACTGCTCATTCTCTCACACCAGAAGATGACATGCGCCTTTTCCCTCTAGAGCATACGCGTCCTGCCGGCATCTCCCACAAGTCAGAAAACCGCTGATCCCCGGGGTCTGCTCCACTAGAAGACAGACTCGGAGCTGAGCGCCACTCCGCCTCAGCTGCACGGCTCCAGCAGGGTCACCACCCAGGCCCCTGAAGCTGGACAGGCCTGTCGCCCCGGGGCTGGCAAGAAAGCCCGTGCAGGGCTGTGCCGCGGTCCGTGATCCACCCGCGGCTGCTGCGGGTCCCCGCAGCCCCTCCGGGTCCAGACTGCAGAACCCCGCTTCTCTCCCCACCCGCAGGTCTCGGCGCTGCCCTCCGGCCCCCCCGGACAGCCCCCAGCGGGAGGCGTCCCCGGCTGCCCCCGTGGGACGGAGGGGCCGGGGCTGGCCGGGCCTGCTGGGGGAAGACACCGCCGCCGCAGCGCCG